CCACCTAATAGTTAAAGGTTTTTAATAGATGAAGAATAGAGAGTGAAGAGATTTCATTTCACTGCAGAATTCTGAATCCAGCATCTGAGCTCTAAAGATGCCAGGATTGCAAAACAGTTCTAATGAATCATTTCTCTAGCAGTTCAACATTCTCGCTTTCTATTTGCAGCTACATTAAATATAAATAGGTGGACTAAATACAAAATGCTGAAAAATAGCTCAATTTTATACTATAGTGAGATCATGTCATGGCTTTCAGTGGATTTAATGCCCTTTGAAACAAATCTTTTTTTTCTTTTCCTTACCCTTTCTTCCCCACATCTAGTAGCACAAACTGTTTGGAGTTATATAAAAGAAATTCACTAAGATTGAAAGAAAAAAAAACTCTTAGATGAGATTCATCTCATGCACTACCAATTTCAAAATCAGCTTCTAAAAATCAGTGAGAGTCTAATCCAAATTTTATAAGTATTAATCACACAACGATAATTACAATTCTGTGTCTTTAAGTTTTAAAGGTTACTTTGTTAATCTTACAGTTCATGGCATTGTGCTTATTTCAGCAGAATCAATTAATTACAGTATATTTTTATTTATTAATATTAATCTGCTTTGAATGTTTTTGTTTGACTACTTGCTTTCCCTGCATTCTCAGACACTAACACATCTGTCACTTTTTTAATGGACTCAAAATAGTTTTGGACCTTAGTGTACCAACTATATCTGCATGTTCTCAAGTACAGTAGGCCTTTTGCTGTCATACCTGATATGTAGCATGTTGGATATATATATATATAGTATGTAATAATGGATCTGAAGGAAAAAAAACAAAAAATAATAATCATGTGATTGTTCGATTTTCTTGAAGCCCCCCAAGAGGCAGATATCTATTCTCAATTATCAGCAATCTTATAAAAAGCAAAAATACAGAAAATTCAAATAGAATAAAAATTAAACTAAAACCAGCAATAGCAAAGCAATGAGTTATTAAAATTAAACCATTTTTAACTTGAAAAATATGACAATGAATAAAGATTGGGGGGGTGGAGAGATTCTGCAAGGAAGAGCTGTAGTAAACTAATGTATGTATAGTAACTCTATTACCTATGAAGATTTTAGGGTTGGTGGCAGAATCTTCTTTCTGCCAAATTTTGAGGAAAACATCCAAATATAGATCTCAGAGGATATTGCCTCAGTAAACTTTTTACCATCCCAACTCAATGAGTAGTTTGTTTGCTATGATATAAACGTGGAACTGATAGCACCACTATAAACAAGCTTGCAAGATAAATGGAAAGAACATCATTATTATGGGAATTATTTGCCTGTGAGCATAAAATGGAAAAGTGAGATTATAACCAAATTCTGTACGTGCATGCAGTCATTTTCAGAATTTTACAGCTAAATAAGTGTTAATAATTTTTTCACCAAATCAGATTTCCCTAACATTTATGTCAGCAATTCAGTGACAAATGGAAACAGGAATACGTGGGACAAAAGATGAACTGAAAATTCTATATGGCTTTCAACAGCTTTAAAACATTATAAAGGTAAAGGTTTAGCCTGTCCAGTTGAGTCAACTCAGTGTTGACTGAAGACATCATTGTCATGTGGCCAAAATGACTATATATATCAAGGCACATAGAATGCTGTTACATTCCCACCAAAGTGATATCTATTTATCTACTTGCATTTGCATGCTTTTGAACTGCTAAATTGGCAGGAACAGGGGTAAGTAACAGGAGCTCACCCTGTCATGCAGTGTTCAGGTTTTGAACCCAGGCTATCAGCTTTCCAGCTGACAAGTTCAGCTTCTTTAACCGCTGAGCCATTGTGCCCCCTTTTAAAACATTAGTTAGTTATATATATTTTTAAGGGATGCGGTGGCTCAGTGGCTAAAACGCTGAGCTTGTCGATCAGAAAAAGTTGGCAGTTCAGCTGTTCAAATCCCTAGTGCTGCATAACGGAGTGAGCTCCCATTACTTGTCCCAGCTTCTGCCAACCTAGCAGTTCAAAAGCATGTAAAAATGCAAGTAGAAAAATAGGGACCACCTTTGGTGGGAAGCTAACAGCGTTCTGTGCGCCTTCGGCGTTTAGTCATGCTGGCCACATGACCATGGAGACATCTTCAGACAGCGCTGACTCTTCGGCTTTGAAACGGAGATGAGCATCGCCCCCTAGAGTCGGGAACGACTAGCACATATGTGCGAGGGGAACTTTTACCTTTATAGTTATATATTTTACTAGAATATGATAAAACTAGCCAGATTATTTTGTGTAGGCCATAGATGTTACATTACATTTAGAGGTGAAATATACATAGCACTAGGATTATGATATTGATTTACTAATGCTAATCTCAATCTACTACCACTTCTAGTTTGGGTAGACACAATCCCTGCTATTACAATTATTGTAAAAATTCAATATTCATTGACTCTTTACTACCTGTGTTGCTTTTATTTTTATCAGGTGCAAGTTTGAAGTAAAGAAAAAAATTGAAGTACTTCAATTCCCCTTTCAGGACCAAATTATATTTGTAACCTCATATAGCTGTCCAATTCTTCCATGTAAAGTACTGTAATGACAGGGGAAATTGTATCTAAGAATGGACTCTCATTTATGCCATTTGTGCATTTTAGTGCTTATTTTAATATAATCCAATTTGGACCCAATAAACCTATTAACTTCAACTACTCAGTTAATTTACAATGAATTCAAGAAGTTACCCGGGGTCGAAAGTAGCTTTTCAAAACATAATAGTAGGGTGACCTTCATTAGATATGGCTGCAGCATAACATGCAGCTCCCTTTCAAACTCTAATATATAGTAAGAACTGTGAGACCTGGAACTATGAACAGATTGTTATACCTCTTGATGACAGATTTATAAGGATTGAAAAGGTGCTCATAAAAGCAAAAGGTGAAATGTTTCCCTAGCACTTTAATGTCAGATTGAAACATCAGTTCATTTGACCTGTGCAACTCAAAATTTTTGTTTTATATTATTAGGTTATTCCAGTGGAGAATGATTCCAAGCCAACTGCTGCAAAAGCAATATTACAAATGGTACAGTGTATCTGAATGTAAAATTATATAGTATTCAATAATGTTAATATACAATTTCCATTTTTCCCCTGGTCACATTAGTTCACATTGCCTTATTCCAAGTGTGTTTAACTCATGGCCTGCATGCCACATGCAACCCTCAACAACTAGTAATGCAAGAGAATAATAAAAAATTTAAAAGGAAGTTTGTTATTTATATAGATTAATTATATCATATATTTTACATGTGACCCAAGATGATTCCTCTTCACACAATGTGGCCCAGGCAAGCCAAAATGTTGGACAACCATGCGCTAAATCTTTTTCTTGCATATGATGATTTGCAGAAATTTTGGGCCTCTATCATCAGTGATACTGACTACATTTTTAAAATTCATTTCTAATTTTCTTATTGTTAAAAGTAATAAGTTATATGTTCGATCTTTGTACCTGCTGCTGAAGAAAGAAACATGAATATTTTTTTAGCATATTTTATTTGCTGGCAAAGATGATAAGCTATATCTCATATAAATAACCTGGCCCATATCTTAGTTATTGTATATTCATCAGCAATTCTTAGAGACCATCTTAAACGCTTGGGATACGCTCTTTGTTGAAAACAAAATGGACATTTCAGTTTCATATTATTGCCATTTGTGTAATATATTTTTCTTTCCATGAATTACCCAAATTCTTTGTATTACGCATGTAAAGATATAAATATAGGAAGTAAATAACTACTTGTTCAAGAAATCACCTGTCTTCTGAATTGAGGGTAAAATGCATATTGTAGCAATGAAAAAGATTATATATTTCATTCTGGATGTAGCTGATAAATATTAAAGAATAAAAATATTCTTGATTTGTAGAGAAGGGCGGGCAGTATTTCAGTCTCCAGAGTCTTGTTAGATAATTTATTTTATTTAGCAAAGACAGTGATGAAAATTATACTAAACATGTCAACACTTTGGTAACCCTGAAGCATTTTGGCATGCTCACACTGTACAACCTAAACACAACAGTATACCCCTATGCTAACTGCTTGCTTTAATTCATATTAGCAGATGGGTTTTCAGACCATGTCACCTGTGTGACAAAAGATACATTTTTAATGGGCAAATGATTGTCATTTGCATAGCAAATACAAATGTGCTTCTTCGTTAGGTTCTAATAGGAAGAAGTGGGCAAAGGGCAGGCTCATTTGCATCACTGAATGCTTCATTTTCACACTGTTTGTTGTCTGTAGAAATATACAGGTATCAGTGTTAAATGTCCAGGAAAAACAATCTAAACAATTTGTTAGATTTACAGACACTTTCTGAGTTGACAGTTCTGCAGTAGCAATACATTTCATGGTGAAAAATATCCAAGACATTTCAGAGTTTTATTCCTTGCTAATTTTCAGAGATGTGGGATGCAGATATTGCATATACATGCACATTTCCTGAACAGAAGAAATATTTATTCAGTATTTCTAGTACTTGCAAATGACAAAAGCTGTTGTTTTAACTAATGGTGCTATGAATTTAGGTGAAGAGAAAAGAGAGATTGAGAAGATGCCTGAAGGCCGTGAGATAATTTTATTACTAATATATTCCCTTGGTTTGCTTTTTGAACTCTCATTCCTTGCCTTACAGCTGTAGTTAATGAATGGGGAGACTATTCAAATGAGCCCCAAGCAAAATATTATTCATGAATTTTCTAGGACGGAAGCTATAAGAAGGGCATCAATGGCATCAGGTTCATTGGTTATGCTTAAGGGTTCATAAGTACCTTTGTTGCCCTAGAAAAATAATTGTCTTCAGTTCAACCAGCCTGTTCTACACCCTGAGCAGCTGCCAATGAGCCAGCAATAAAACAAAAGAGAGAGGTGGAGGAAACAAAGGCAATCAGATGAGAAGCCAAGCATTGGTGGGGTTACAGAACAGCCTTTCTTATGCAGATAGCAGTTCGGCTTACAGAACATCCAAATGCAAGCAAATTGATATATGCAAGCTTTTTTTTCAATAGACTTGCCAATGCCTTATGCTTATCATGTGCTCTTTTACCTGGAATGCTGCTGTTCAGAAAACAAAAAAGAGGGAAAAGCAGGAATCAAATGAGACACAGAAAGACTAAGCAATATCACTCGTCTCCAGGTTCATTTTCAGGTAAGAAATCAGGTCTAATTTAAAATTGATAAACAATCAATCCGATATGATGAGATTAAGAATTAAGGATTTTTCCCCCCTAAGGAATTTGCAAAGAGATACACATCTCATGAATAAATATAGCAGTCTAAGGTATTTATTGATTCACATGCCATTTGTTTGAGTGTTTGCCCTAAGGGGGCCAAAAAGAAGCCTATTATTATTGACAATATAAGAGCTATGGTTATATTTGCAGACAAAAAGTACATTTAAATTGTGCCTCACGGTGAGAACATGAGCCAACCAAAGCCAGTAATTCAAAGTTAAGACTGACATTATGTCAGACCCCATAGTGTCAGCAAAAGTGACAATTGTGCCTTTGCATTTCCAAGCATCTGTAAATTTATATCTCAATTTTTAATGAAATATATTGCTGTGGTTTTCCTTTTCTAAACTACTCATTTCATTCTTTTTCTGTTTTTATTTTGTGAAAGTATTTAAGTTGCAGGGTGAACATCTTTCTTTTATAACTGTTGATATATTCAAGATCTTTTTCCACATGCTACAAGGTGTATATATACCCAAATAGGAAGTGCTGCACATTATCCACCTAGATAAACAGATGCAGAAACAAAACATATCCATCATAGCACATTCTATCAAAAGGAAAAAGGTTACACAACTACGTGGGCTAAGAGTCGGCAAATGCAAAGTCTCACAAAAGAACTCAGAAGCAGAGTTTACGTTTACAGATTTCATCTGAAAGAACCTTCCCCTTTGAGAGGTAGAAATGAGATCTATATTGACTCAAGTTTGTTTTCAAAGTGAGTGAAAGGGGCTAAACAAGGAGCCTCCAACAGAGTGAATGCAATTAAAAATAAAAGCGATGAAAAGACTTGGGATGAATTAAAGTGAGAGAATGATGGATAGGGTATTTTAGAGATATTTTTATGAGAATTATAGTGAGAAGTCAGATAATAGAATTGAAACAAATACTGTAATTGATTGTCTTCTAGAAAATATTAATGAAAAATAAGCAATAAACACTGTAAAATGTTGAAAATAAGATTTCAGGTGTAGACAGTAAAATTGGAGGAATGTTAAAAGATGGGGGTGGATTATTTATAGAATAGCTGTCTGACCAAGTTAATGTATATGTGTATGTGACAACTGCATATACCTCTGATGATTGAAAGAATGCTACTATTGTTTTCCTATAGAAAGGGAAAGATAGGCAAGGTTAATATAAAAACAAGAGGGACATTAGTATACCTGGAAAGGTGTTTGGAAGAATTCTGATCAAAAGGAAGTGAGTGATTACAATTGGCCATATTTGGAAAGGACAAGGCTTTTTTATTCTTCATTCTTATTCTTTATAATTGATTAAAACAGTTTATTGCAATTTCATTAAATCAAAGAAACATACAATTTAAAAAATGGATATGCTTAAAGTATGATACATTTTGCCAAATGGAACATTGTTTATGTAGAGGCATAAGGAAAAAAAGAATGCTTAAAAATGGTTCAACATTAAGCAGAAAGTAAGTCAAGGATCTATGATATCTCCTTGCTTGTTTAATTTATGAATGAACCGATGTACAAATATCTTGGTCAGGAATATGAAAATATGTGGGTTTTTTGTATGAAGATAATGTTGTGTTATTGGCAGAGATTCCTAATGAGGTGCTGCACATATTAGATTATGCAATGTTGGACCTTAGTCATGGGTTCAAATAAGGTTGTTTTATAGATGTGCTTTAATTTTGTCTCAAATGTTATTTTCTGATTTCTTTAGATATATTTTTAAGTATTCACACATCACTCATGGATGCAATTTTTGTACTGGTCTAAGACTAATAAACTGACTGACTAAGATTGTATGACACAATGAGCTCTATTAAAATATAAATTAATGTATTGAAATTAAGGCCGTGTTTTTCGATAGGGAAAAAGGACTGATGATAAATTATACATAAATGGTGGAAAATTAGAAAAGAGATGAATTTGTGAATCTTGGTAGAATGTTCATTGAAAATGGGACATGTGTGAAGAAATTACTATTGTGGCTTGTGGAGGCAAGAACGGACAACAAAGAAAAAAATTATGGAAAGATACTGTGATTTGGCTTGCTAAAAACTGAATTTAGATTTCTTTCTTTTCCTCCTACCCCCATCTTTTAAATTCCTTCACTCACTGTTTCTCATTTTTACTGCACTTTGCATAAATATTGCTTAGTCCAAAGGGAAATAGGGAAAACATGTATTTATGGGCAGGTCATAATCTTATGGAAAGCTGATATGTTAGAGATAGATAGGAGTACACTATTTTCTACCACTCAGCAGTCCAAATAACTGCTAAAGTTAAATAGTTAAATGTCCATGTTTCAAACAGTATAGGAAGGCCTTGTTTGAACCAACCAAAGAATGTGTATTTTTCCTGTTTTGTTCCTCAACTGTGCTCTAAATAAGTTATTTTTTTTAGCTGTTTCCTTTTCACATGACACAAACTTACAAGCACAAGAAAAGAACTTTGTGCAACCCACCTGAATGACTCAAGATTGCTCCTTTGTTATTTTACTTTAAATAGTTAGCAAATACTTCGTTCCACAGGGCTTTTAGTATTCTGAAATATTAATTTTACTCCCAGATTGTATTCTGTGTGTGTGTTTCTTGTAATATTTAAACTTCTATTTTTGTTTTTGCATTTTATCCAAGGTACCTGGTAGGTGGAGCATGTGATTCCTAAATCTGATCCATACTAACATATAAACACCATCTAAAGCTAACTGAGAATAATATATTACTTTTGCTGATAACACAGAAAAGTCCACTCAAATTTTGGGACTTGATTAACTCTAGCTTAATGTGACTTTTGGGAAGCTGTATAAACTCTATCACCATAAAGACTAATCAAGTTGGGAGCTGATGCTACTCAAAGTTAGCATCAAAGGTGTCATCTGTCACCTGGTATAGATAAGAAGCTCATGGCCATGACTGTGCTTCAGCCACAATTTGCTCCTACTGAATTTTGGTATTAATTTGAAAAGAATATGTGGTCCACCAGGAAGAGGTCTGAATGACTTAAAATCAGGACATTACAACTGTAAGGTTGATGATCCTATTGGTGCATACATGGAAGCACAACTAGCACAGTAGGTATACAGTCATTCTGGTGCCTGATTTTGATCAGCATGGTGGGATGTAGGGACACTATTCCATTACTGGTTCTGCTAGGAATAAGGGTCTCAATATGGCTCATGGAAGGGAAAACATATTTCTACCTCTTGTTAAGTGCCCAGCACTGGATTCAAGCAGTAAAGTGATCATATTTCAAGGCTTTTGTGTTTTTGCTTTTAAAATCAGGTAGCAAAGTCTATTTTTATCCCATATGTTATCACTGGTATCCTAGACTATGCTTTTCTTGAAAGCAGGATGATCATGACAACTATAGTAGTGATAACAAGATGAAACCTATTAAAATTAATGTTAACTAATTGGCTTTGTGTTATTTCATATCCATATGGCAATTTAGTTTAACAACTGACATCATTCTCATCTGCTTCTCTAGAAAATGAATTTTTACTTATTTTAAGCAGTTTATTTTAAGCAATAACATTACAGTTTGATTATCAATTTATCTGTTTAGCATCAAAATCTTCTCCTCTTTTACAAATTGTATTATAATTATAATTTCCATGTATCTTGGTACTCCCTGAGCTTGGTTGTTTTCTAGTTGTTTTACCCAACTAGGTAATATCTTCAGTTTAAGAAGGGAGTGGGAGCTCTGTTTATATGCAGTGGCTTGCCCTGGCATTGTTGGTGTGAGTGTTGGTTTCTTTTTGATAGTTCATTGATTATACTGTTGTTTACTATTTGATTGTTTGAGTTGGTAGTTCCTTGATGGGGCTATTGTTTACTGATTGATTGATTGTTTGCCTGCTATTAATCCTGTATTAATCTCTGCTTATCTGGATGCTGATTGCTGGTGAGGAGGTGTTTTTTTTTTTTTATTGAAAAAGTTTTTCAAATACAGATTTTTCCCCCTTTTTCCCCCCCCCTCCTCCCCCCCCACCCCCCCTCCCCTTGACTTCCTCATAGTAAAACCCAAGTTCATAACAGATTATATCATACTTTACTATCCACATACTCAATCTCCATATACTGACCCTTTCATTTTAATAAGATTATCATACCCCCCGTATACTATGCTATAATAAGCATTTCAAAGTGACATTCTATTATAACATTATCTAATAACTCCTGATTTAAAATAATAATATTATTATATCTCCCAATTTAACAATTTCTACTCGTAGTCTACCCTTTTACTACCCCTCAGACAATATAACATTTCAAAACATACTTCTATTCTAAGTATTCAAAAAGTCCTAATTTAACACTTATTCAGTTCCAGTAGCCATTTCGTTTCCCCCCTTCATTACAAATATTCACATCTAAACATTTCTTTAAAATAGACAATCCATAACCTAACCTTTCTCCACCCACTTTCCTACAGAATTACCATAATTATTCTTAATATCTTTATTCTTCTACCCAATCCCCTAGAAAAATATTCCCTTATGTAAATAAGATCCTAAAAGAAAAAAAAAAAACTTTAAACTTATGATCCATATAGCATCTTCTGGAATATCTTTCAACTGGATGATGAACTCCACCCATGTTAGGGTAACATCGCATCCTTATTCCAACAGTATTTTCGATATCTTCAGTTACCATCTGCCCCCATCAGCAACAAATATCTTCATATTGGAAAAGAAAAAACCCCGACAACCACCCGAGTGACTTTATAATTATATTCCATATAATGTTTATGGAGGTGTCTTTGATCCAGATAATTGGTTCCAACCATCATAATAGGGTAACAACCAGATCTTCTGCGTGCCCCAATCCAATAAGTCTCTTGCCATATAGCTCAGCATACACGTATTTATCCGGAACTCCAAAAAACAAACAAGATATTTCCAACCATTTGGTTTAAGGCCTTTTTCACACCCAATAATT